GGGACCAAGGAAGCCAAGGACTGAGTTTCTTTCTTTTCCTTCCTTTCCTTTTCTCTTTGTCCTTTCTTTTTGTCTCTTTGTCTTTCCTTTCTCTTCTAAACACTACAATACACACATTTGAAAAATGATGGTACATGAAAGCATGAACAGGCATTCTTAACCTAGGATTAGTGAACTTTTTTTTTTATTTGGATAACTGTATTTCAGTATAATTGGTTTTCTTTGTAATCCTCTGCATTTTATTTTATGCATTTAAAAACATGATTCTGAGAAGGGCTGCTTAAAACTGATTGCCCAAGAGTAAAGAGATTCAGGCTGCTATTAAAAGAAAAATAAGAGATGTAGTGGATAGAGCTCTGGCCTTTAAGTCAGGAGGACCTGAGTTCAAATTTGGCTTCAGATACTTGACACTTACTAGCTATATGACCCTGGGCAAGTCACTTAACCCTGATTGCCTGGCCAAAAAAAAGCAAAAAAAAAAATAGCATGTGACCTTTAGCAAGATAGTAATAAAAACGTCCCATTTGCCTTCTGGATTCTTTTTATTTCCTGTGCATTTTTTGAGGGTTGGGGTGTTGTTTCTATTATTATCTAAAATACACTTACATTAATTAAGTGCATTCACAGGACTGTCAAAACTAGCTCCTATTTACATAGACAGGCTGCAAAGTGCTTTCTTCCGGGGGCAGGAAATAAAAACGCTGCCTTTAGCCTCTGCCTCATCCCTGCAGGGCCGAAGAATTCAAGCCCAGGTGGCCAGCCTGTGGGGAATGGACTTTCCATAAGGAGGTGGGCCGCTGCTGGAAAGCAGATGTAGCCTGTCACTGAGGCTGCACTTGGAGGCTTGCCTGCCAGAGCTTGGCTCCATGGACCCAGCCTTAAAAACCCAATGTCGGCTGCCTGCTCCCACATTATGGAGCCTCTGGAGAAAACCAAAACATGAGTATAGTGAAAGCAGGTGTTGTCCTTGTTTTACTTTCTGCTACATTGTGAAGTCCTGCTGTATTTCCCTGGAGTCTCCGCGTTTGCCATTTCTTATCAAGTAATCCAGAAGCAGCAAAGCGGCACTGTGGACGGCGCTGGGTCTCCTGCACTTACTAGCTGTGTGACCCCGGTTTGCCTCTGTTTCCTCGTCTGTAAGATGGGGACACATTGAAGAAGGCAATGGCAAACCCCTTTAGTATCTTTGCCCAAAACAAAACCAACATCAAACCCAAATGGAGTCACGAAAAGTAGGGACATGACTGGAAAATGACTCAACAGCAAATCAAGTAATCTGTTCGGCTGCGTTCACTTTGCTCAGTCATTTTGCGATCATGAAGCCACCTGGGCTCTGGTGTGTTTCGGCACATACTATCATGAAGAATGCTGCCATGTCATCTTGTACAAATAATCCCTCCTCCCCTCCCCTGGCCCCCCGACACTCACTTTGCTCGTGTTTTATGACATATAAACAACTACGTACAAATGAGACGCAGGCAGGCAGAACGGGACGTCTGCAGTTACTCAGAATGAAGGCACTGGGTATAAGGGGGAGCAGGAAAGAATGTTTGCAGAAAATGGGATTTTAGCTAAGGCTTGAAGGGAGTCCGGGAAGCCAGGAGGTGGTGGTGCAGGTGAAGACAATTCCAAGATGAACCCCAAGGGAATATGCTTGGATGCCAAGTCTGGAGGAGGGGGTATGCCATGTTCAGGGACAGCAAGGTGGCCATTGTCACTGAAGCACAGAGGTTGTGGAGGGCTGGGGTGCATGCCAGTCCCCTCACAGGCCCCTCTTCCAGCAAAGGGCCACCCCTGTGGTCTCTCAATCATCAGATGGATCACGGGCTCTCCTGATCAGCCCCCATTACTTCACCATCATTATTATCAGGAGAAACAAAACCGAGGGCAATGGAATGTCAATGACACCTTCAGATTATATTCCACAGTAAAGGGACTGTCAGGAAGTGTGTGACAAATGCTTTTGAAAAATGAATACTAAAGACGGAAAGGCAGCTCATCCTTCAGTCCTCTCATTCACTGGCCAGCATGAGGTTCTAGTTAGAGGCAAGCTGAGAAGCAGCAGCCCTTGGATGCCAAGGACAAGACGCCTGCTCACAGACTCAGGAAGCATTCATACCATCATAACATATTCTCTAGTAATGGGCCACATCACTACTTCTAACACAAACAGTGCTCGTCCAACCGAGCTCATTTGGGATGGGCTTTTTGATTTATGAAACCTCTCTCCCCGTCCCTTTCCCATCTCCTGACCTCAGCTCCACTGCAGCTCAATTGGTATTCATGGGTCCTCTCCACTGCAGACCTTTCCCTGGCTCAGAATCACTCCTCTCCTAATGCAGGACGCTGCAGACAGAGCATCATGCTGGGAGCTTATTTTAAAAAATCCTCTCATTCTGACAGCAAGTGGGTATGGAGAAACAGCCAGAGTCACCACTGTAGGCTGGCTGTTCAGATTCTGAGAATCAGTGTGGGAGATGGCCTGAAATGATTTGTTTTTAGAAGAGAGGACCTCTGTATGTTCATGGCAGAAGAGGAGATCGGTTATTAGGGCCAGCAGGTGGGAGCAGGCATGGAGTCAGAGCCCACTGATCTGCACTAGATCCTTCATGTTCTATAGGACTATTGATCACTCTCTACAGCTTTGCAGCCTCACAGAAACAGATACAAATCTGAGGGATGTGTTACAGAGATTCATGAGTGGTAGTAGTATTTTTCCATTACTATTGTGAAAGTGGCACACTACCAAATTTGTGGATGACACAGTGCTGTGAAGGGTGGCTAACATTTGATGGCAGATCCACAATCTGGACAGGTTAGAATAATAGGACTAAAAAATTAGATGAAATTTAATAGGGATAACTGTAAAGTCTTTTATGTGGGTCCAAAAAAATCAACTTGAAAGTACAAGTTGTGGCTCAGGGCAGTTTACATAAAAAAGATCCGGGGGTCTGAGTGGCCTCCAACATCACAATTAGCTGGTAGTGTTGAGAGGCGGCAGTGAAAAAGTGAATGTGATCTCAAGCTGCATCACGAAGTGTATGCTGCGCAGATCCAGGAAGGGTCTTTAGGACTCTTCTCTGCCATGGTCAGAAGACATCTGGAATGGGGGCTGCAACTCAGGAAGACTAATAAACTGGAGAGCATCTAAAGGGCGGGCAGAAAGGTGAACAGCCCCAAAATGACACCACCTGTCTCTTAGTTAAAGGAGCTGGGTATGTCCGTGCCTAATAAATGCTTGTTGACTTAAGAAGAAAAAAGGAAAGAGGATACAACGACCATCTTTAAATATTTGAAAGGATGCCTCACAGAAGAGGGAATAGGCTTGTTGGATAAAGCACTAGACCTGGGGTCTACACGACTCAAATTCAAATCTGACCTGACAATTACTAGCTGGGACCTTGGGCAAGTGATGTCATTATGTACATATGTATGAGGCACCTGTGTGCCTCAGTTTCCTCAACTGTAAAATGGGGCTCATAATAGCACCTACCCCCCAGGGTTATTGTGAGGATACTACAGAAATGCTATCTCAATGTGGCAGGCTAGGGAGGATGAAGAGTTCTCGATGACTTTTGGGTGGTAAATAAGTGACTAGAAGAATGGTGGAGGGGAGGGTTTGGGAAGGAAAGACAATGAGGAGTTCCGTTTGTAACATATTAAGTTAGTTGGAGATGTCCAGTGGGACCAGAGCTGAAGACAGGGACTAGGACTTCATGTACATACCTGGGAGGGTCCACAAAGAGATGAGAGAGGGTGGAAATAACAAAAAGCCTAAAAGAGAAGAGGGCCCAGCAGGAAGGAACACGGGAACTCACCTTTGGGGGATGGAAAACTGAAGAGCAGCCAGATAGGTAGGAGAACCAGGAGGGAGAAATTCCATAGAAATCTAACATCCAAGCTGGTGAGTACTGGTGTCAGATTCTGCAGAGGTCAAGACGCATAAGGACTCCTCATTGGCTAATTGGACTGTCTTTCAAAAGATCCTGGGCGTCAGAGAGTGAATGAACACACTAATGCATGGTTAGTGGGGCTTTGAAATGGCCTGATCATTCTAGAGAGCAATTTGCAATCATGCAAAAACCTCACAAACTAACTAAAATGTTCCTCCCTTTGACCCAGAGATCCCTCTGCTAGTGAAAGCTAGAGGCAAATATCCATAGTAGCCCTTGGCGTAGGACCCAAGAACTGTCAACAAACAAGAAATGCATCTCCCCCCCAGTTGCAATGTCATCTCCTTTGGAGCAGGGGCTGTTTTTGCCATACTCAGTGCTTAATAAATGCTCCTTGATCATGAATACAAAGAACTTAAGAGAATCGGCATGGGAACTTCGATGAACTCTTGCAAAGTGAAGCAAGCGGTAAGTACTAAGAAAATGCCATCTGCAACTGCAATGGTGCCTGAAACGGAATGATGTAATGATAATGACCACTGCTGGCCTGGCGGGGATGAGCAAACACAGCCCTGCCCCGTTCTGCAGCACAGGAGACTCTGGGGTGCGCAATAGTGCATACATACACTGCCACAAGTCAGAGACAATCCGCTTTGGCTTGTTTCCGCAGGGTGTTTGGCAAATACCTACCCAAGAAATGACTCCTAATGAAAAATGATGTTCACCGTTACGGACAATTCTTGTCTTTTAATTTAAAGGAAATCTAAAAAAAAAAAGTCACCTATCTACATTAATCAAATGAACTGAATAATTAATTACTAACAAAATTTTTATTTGGAGACCCCTGAGCTAGGCAACATTTTCATGAGGAAAAATGCTGACAATTGTAGTAATCAGTGTGATATATACATATATATATATATATATATATATATATATATATATATATATATACGTATATATATATATATATATATACGTATATATATATATGTATATATATATATACGTATATATATATATATATGTATATATATATATATATGTATATATATATATATATATACACACATATATATATATATATATATATATATATAGCTCAAAGACATCACCATCACGCTGCCATTTTCCTTCAGAGGCAGTGAAGCTATAGTCCAGCTTTCAAACTTTTCCATCCACCTCTAATACACACAATCAGGTACACACCTCGATGGTGGTTTTAAATTGACAAAAATACTTGGCAGTTGTTACCAGTTGTAAACATGTTGTCTTAAAATTTTATTTTACCAGGCATTTTAAACTTTTAATTTCATGATTATAAATCTTTTACTGTGTCTACTTATATCTTTATTAAGGTAATTAAATATACAAATAAACAAAATTAAACCATTACAAAATAACCCACATGATGATTTTCACCTCAATTTCTAATACAATCATATTATCACATATTTTTAAACAGCAAAAATGCTTGTATACAAAGGACTTGGACATACTTAAAATGTAATCGGGTTCAGTATGTTCAGCAATTTTAGAGACAAGTTCTCTGAATGAAACATACACTTATCTGAGCCACCTCTCTTTAAACTATCCAAACTTTTAATAAAAAGTGGTAACACGTTAAATAGAATGCTACCATTTAACAATTAAGGCACCATGAAATTCCACTGAGAAGCTAAATGTACCCTATTTCTCAACTCAGTCCCTTTTTTGACTGAAAGAGTTAAATTATTAGGGTGGAGAACAAATTAGTAAACTGGAAGAGGAAACTCTCCCATAGATTTCTGAAAGGCCACATTGTGAGTGTCCTCAGTATAAGCAGCTCCCTACCCTCATATTTCCATGTTATTCATGACACCCTCCTGGGTGAACAAGGCATCATCCTTCTTGGGCAGGTAACCTTTCTAAAGAACCTTCTTCACCACAGTTCTGTGAAGGAGGCAGGGCAAGGATTACTGGGATTTTACAAAGACATCTGTTGGCACTAACCCTGGCCCTGGGTTTGTGCCTATGAAAGATGCTCCCCTCAAACTGGGCCCAAAATGGGTCTGAGTGGAGAAGAGAAGACTAGGTGGAGTCAGGGCCTTGCACTCCTGGGGTGGGAGACACAGGCCAAGGCTGACATCTCTTTTGTATCCTTAACACAGCACGCATCTCAGCTGGTTGAACCACCAGATGGAAATACAGTAAATGTGTCAGAAAACAAGTGAAATGTTATATTGTGTTTTCAACTTTTAAACAAATACAGATATATAAAAAATATGGAAAAATATATGAGTGCAAAACATAGCAGAATATATAAATAATGGAGTTTATAACAATTCCTCACCAAGCTATCCTTGGACTAAATGACTAACCGGCAACCCTAATCACCTACAACTCCGTGTCGCGACACGCCCGCACAGCACACACGGGTAAATCTTTTCAGAGAATCCCGAGCTCGTCTCGAGTCAAGTGCGTCGAGCTGCAGCACGCACGGTCATGGCTTTTCCAGTCGTTTGCAGGAGATGCTCAGAATACTTCTGGTTACTAATGGTGCCTTCATTCTTCACTTGTTCTCCATCGAGACCTATGGCGTTCTATGTGATCTTCCAGAGGAAGCACTGCCTACTTTGGAACCTTTCTATGTCTGTAACACGCCAATTGTGGGAAAAGACAGGAAAGGCAGATTGCCTTAACGTTACGTCCTTCAGTATATGGCTCCATTTAACAGCATCTGATAATCGGTTAGTGCCTAAGGCTGCGGAACTTTGGCTTTCTTAAAATTAGCATCGGTTGCTTGATTGTCGGCTTGTCACCAAACAGCGCAGCTTCACTTTCTGTCGTCGGGAATCTCTTCTGGTAGATGGCGGGATATTCCTTCTGAAACTTAAAAAGGAGATTTGGAAGGACAACTGAGTAAGGCTTGGAGAGGCCACCCAGTGTAAGGGTGAGAGCCCTGAAGTCACAGAGCTGGGTCCCTGTCTATGATGACGTGGTGTTTAAACTCCCGGGCTATTTAAACTCTGTAAAATGAGGTTGAACTAGATCACCTCTAGGGCATGACTAAATCTGAAAATATCATGTTTCTAAATACTGCAAATTACCATCATCTTTTATGTTCTCCTTTTGCCTTGGTATTTCACCAAGCAATGCTCATGCCCCAAGTGGTGCCAGGAAGGGTGGTGCATCCCGGAGGTACTTTGTCAAGCATTTCCCGCGGGCATCTGAGTTTCCACCTAGCAAGTTCGGTTTATCACCAGACTACAAGTTTAATCACTTGACACATTTATGCAGCAACAGTTTCATTATCACGCAGATCTGTATGGTCTGTTAATAAGAAAACTCCAAAAAATCCCAGAATAGAGACCTTGATTCTCTAAAGGCAATGACAAACAAGCACACTGATGTCAGGAACTGAGTTTTAAGATAAGTTTCCGGGGGGTCAGAATAGGCTCCCTTAATTTCCCTTACCTTCTATGTCTACAGCATAGTGTAATGATAACTGAGGTCCTGAAAATCTTGAAAGATTTCCAATCAAAGGGAGATTTAATTACGCTCACTACATGACATTTACACAGCAGCAAAGGCTGGAACAAGAGTGTTCTGACAGACTCCACAAGCAGCCGCCTCCTTGGGGCTTCACTGTAAGCCGAGTCTAGAGTTGGATTTGTGAAGGTCTGTCACCCACCTTCAGTCTGACTGTTTTATTAGGGCTGTCCTCTACATAAACTGTGGTTCTCTAACAATGTACTCAACTTAGAAAATGGTCATGTAACTATCAAAGGATTTCTTCTCTTACCTGCTTTAATTTTTTCTTTTTTTCTTTTAGAGGTAAGCTTTTATCTTTGATAATATTCTCCAAAAGTTCTGCAATTGCAACCTGAGAGGTAGAAACTTTCTGTTCATCAAATTCCTGGGTGCTTATCTGCTTACAGTAGGAGTAAGTTGGCAAAGCAGCAATCAGCTCATCCCCAGGACACGTAATCTGAGAATAAAGGGATATAAGAAAATTCTATCATTTCTGTTCTTCTATGAAAAGTGTCATTTCAATGAAATTTGGTAACTACTAGTCCACAGGTGAGGCACACCTGGAACTCTTTGGAAAGGCTCATTTCAACTTTGAAATGAGCTATAAAGTTTACTTAATGTTTTATTTCACTTGAAGACAGAAGTGCTGAGAGTCTACTAATAGGAGTTTCCCGGCACCTACGTGGCCCTTCCTCAGGTCATCCAGGTGCTTCTCCACGGCGGCCTGCAAGTGGGATGGCACTTGAAGAACTTCTTGATGATGATCCATCAGAAAGGAAACTAGTCGTGCAGCGAGCAGCTCATCGAGATCGACTTCCTCAGCGCAGCGCAGCACGCATCGGGAAAACGTCTGGATCATCTGGAAGCATTTCAGAAATTGGGAGTAAAAACCCAGACTTTCACAGGAATCAGAAGATCAGTCATTTCCTGGCAGTACCATGCTGAAGCATTCAGATGAAGCCATAAGCTGATTTCAATGTTCAAATGAAGACAACTTACTCCTGTTAGAAAGATTAAGAATGCTGGCTTTGCTTAAGTCTCTACTAACAATCTTGCATTAGCTGAGTATTTTTCAACCAAACAATTCCACGGGATTAAACAGGTTTAGGATTTTCTTTTAACAAATGTTCCTTATTTCATCAGGAAACTGGACAGCACTCATTAATACCAGATTGCTGTAAGCTGCTTAAGTTTAAAACTGGTTAGAAAATAGTGACTCTTTACATAAAATCAATTCAACAAAAATATAAATTAGGAGAATATATAACATACCAAAACCCAGTATTTATCAGGGGTTGCAAAATTGGAACTGGTTTACCTTTTAAAACTTTGGAAAAAAGTAATTTCATATCACATTCAGTTTAATTTAATCAAGATTTATTAAGTGTCTAATATAAACAATAACTGCTCTAGGCCCCGGAATGATTCAAACATCTATGCATGGACAAGTAACCTTAAAAGTTAGAAGGAACAAATGCACAGGAGAAGTCAGAGACAGGCACAAGCATTCAGGAAGAAGGGGGTAGGGGTAGGGAATCACTTATCTCTGAGAGGCCCAGAAAGCATCTATGGAAGAGAAGGCACCTGCCTTGAGCTTTAAGGAAATATTGAAAAAGTAAGTCTATGCCAAAGATGGCATGGGATACACAAAGATGTGGCGGGGTTAGGAAAGCACCGGAGAAGATCAGAAACCAGCTAGGAGTCCAGTTTAGAAATATGAGGTATATTAAGGGCAGTTGTGCCTTGGAGAACAGGGCAAGATATTGCTTCTCATCTATAGATAAGGGGCCCTGAAAGTTCTGGGTAGAGGACAGACATAAGCCAGTTTGCATACCAATAATGTACCATTAGCCAGATGAAGGACGGACTGGCCAGGGGCATATGAGGTAGGAAGCTTATTCAGTCTACGTGGGAAGTCATCAGGGCCTAAATTAAGGTGTTGCAAGAGAGGAGAGACACGTGGGGGAAGAATTAATAGTATTTTGCAACTGATTAACTGTGAGGATTAAAAGAAAGGGGAAGTCCAAGAGGGCAGAGGGCTCAGAGGTTTTGAGTCTACATGAATGAGAGAAGGACGGTGTCATACAAAATGAAAAACAACAACAACAATGAAAGTTAGGACATGAAGATCAGGGGAAAATTAATTTTGGATGAGTTTCAGATATTTGGGGGCCATCAGGATGGAAATATCCAACAGGATGGGGGACCTGCCAGGATGGGCCTTAGAAGAGGCAAGAATCCACATTTATCACTAAGCCCATTTTTAAAAATACAACCATAGGGGCAGCTAGGTGGCACAGTGGATAGAGCACCGGCCCTGAAGTCAGGAGGACCTGAGTTCAAATCCGGCCTCAGACCAAACATGTGACATTTACTAGCTGTGTGACCCTGGGCAAGTCACTTAACCCCAATTGCCTAAAAAAACCAAACCAAAACAAAAAAAAACAACCCAAAACACCAAACAAATAAAAATACAACCATACACAAATATAATGATCAGATTCTTAAAAATCTCATGGACCTTGGCTCTCCTGTTAATTGTCAATAATCGTCACATACATATTACAGAGGCCGAGTCTTTAGCCTTCCACTCCAAGTTTGGGTAGTTTTTATCTCATTGTGGCAACTCAAATTTTAAGCTTCACAAATCTGGACTGTTACAGAGATGTGATTCCTTTGTGGACGGCCATGTTTGTTCCTGATCTTTTCGGTGGCACATATGTGCACTACGATGGAGTGTTCAAGCTGATGTCACTAAGGGAACAGCATTCTTACTGAGGAAGTACCTTACAGAACAATCGCTCATTTCCAAAGTATCATTTTTGGAGGTATTTTTAAATGGTCTTTCCAACCTCCATGCCTTCATTAGAAAGGCAGGATTTGCAAATGGCAGAACACAGATGGTAGGGGCCTTTGTGGATTTTTCAGTCTTCCAGTCTTTTGAAATACTGCTCTCCATAGCCCTTCTATGTTGGGTAGATCATAGGGTCACAGGGAGCAGGTGGTGAGAGGGCATCACTAGTTTGTAATGTCTTTATGGGGGCTGATCAAATGTCAGCTTTGTGTGTTTGTCCACTCCACCTCATTAAATATGACTGGAGAGGGTGGGGGGTGGACATAGGGGACCTTCCAGATTCCCCATTTCAGGAGAAGGCCCAGGGCAGTAACCAATTCCCAACTGGGTTGGCATTTCATCTTTGTTTCCAGAAATTCTTCTTCCTGCAGGATGGAATCAACTCCAAACCTCCTCAGTACCCCTTGGCTCTGGTGGTCAACGGTGCAAAAGACTGCAAAGAGGACAAGGAGAACGAGGACTGGGAAAAGGCCACTGGATCTGGCAACTTGGAGATCATTGGTAACTTTTGGGGCAGTGATTTCAGGGGTCAGAAGACAGACTGTAAGAACAGGGTCACAGGGGGCAATCTGCTGATATTTTCTCTTACCGTCCTCTATGAGGCTGACCTACTTACGTTTCAGTATTAAACGTCCTCTCTATCTCCCCTTCCCACCAGAATCTACTACTTCTTAAAGAGAACACTTACGAGCGATCTTGTTCCCACCACATCGTGAAGTTTTGGCATGTCAACGTTCTGACTCATCCGAGAAATCATCCTCATGAGAAGCTGGAGCTTTCTCCGGTTTGGCGGAGGAAGCAACAAGCAGCATATCTGCAGGGCATCAACGGCAATTCTCTCTAAATGAGGCTGCAGTAAACCTACGAGGAAAAGTTACTACCATAAAAAAAGGCTCAGGGATACGATGACCTGCCATTAGCATGGAGTAAAAGCCGGCAGGTTTCATGTCGCCTTATTCCATTTATTCCTTAATATTGCTGTAATCTTGTTGTGGATGTTCAAATAAAGCAGGCTCTTGTTCACACCAGGGAGAAACAATGTGGTGAAACAGAGCAAAGACTCAACACGCAGTCGGGAGACCAGCATTTCTATCAGATGTGTGATCCTAGGCAAGTCATTACCCTCTCACAGTCTGAACTTCCTCATCTGTAAAATGGAGATAAGAACGCTTATACCACTACCTCTCTCACTGGGTCATGAAGCACTTCGTAAACCATAAAGCTCTATTGAAACGTCAGCTATTATGATACGTCCATCTGGACGTTAAGAATCATTCACTTGAACAACAACAAAAAAGGTTATTCATAACCAAAATCACTAGATATGGGGAAGAAGAATGATGGGAAGAGACATAATGCTATCACATAAAATATGCTACGGATCAAAAAGCTAAATAACTCAGATAAAACTTATGAAAATACAAAATACCTACAAAAAGCATGGTCAACAAAACATATTCTGCAAAAAGTAAAGCGAATTCTAAGGTACAAGAGGAAAGCAAAACACAAAGGGTTAGTCATCAGCGAAAGTCACTACATCATGCAGTGGGAAGCATCGCCCTTACTCTGTGTGACAGTCAGCACAGAAGAATCTGAAGGAAAAGACTCTCCTGAGAGCTCTAAGGTACTCTGGCAGAGTCTTTTCCTGCTTGTGGTTCTGGAATCCCAAGGCTCACTCTCCATGGCGACAGACGCATCTGTGGTGCTTTGTCCAAGGTGACCCACACAATCGGGCCTCATGGTAATTTCAGCAACAGGCAGATTGATGCGGCAACTGCTTCTTCTAGGATTACTGAAAAGCAGACTCTGAGACCGACACAGCTGTTTCAACTTGACTTTCCCATTGCATGATTCCTCCTGGTCATGAACAGTTACTGTACAAGTTCTTTTAAAAGCAGCACAGGATGACTTTGAACTCTCTCCGTCTGAACAAGTAGCCAGTTTGGAGCTCTCTTCAGATGCAGAATTTAAGAAGCTCAGACCTTCTGTCCTACCAAGCTCTGAAGTATCTACAATTCTTTCCAAAGAATAGTACCTTGGCTTAAGCTTAGATAAAGGCAAGACAGGTTCATTTTTCAAACCCATGAGGTTCTGACAACTTCCTCCAATGAAGACATTAGCCCTGGATCTTCCGCTGCTCGGATCACAAAGTGGCAGCTTTTCAGTGCACTGGGTTTTCAATTCCTTCTCATTTACATGAAGAGTATCAGGGATTTCTGATTCTTCCTTATGCTTCTCTTTATGAAGTAGGCTAAGAAGAAGACACTCAGTCGATTTGAAAGAGTTCATACTGTTTACATGGAGGGCTTTTGAAGACTGTGGATCATCTTGGATTTTATGTCTTCCACTGGTTCTATTTGGAACCGTGATGTAGCCACAGACAACTAACAGAAAATGAAACAAAAATCAAGATGCAACTGGTTTGACGGTAGACAAAAACAGAAAAAAAGTTAAAAAAGCATCATATATTGTTAGTAATATATAAAAAGCAGGTATTTAATTCAGAGGCCACTTAAAAAACAAACATGCAAGATTAAAATGCCAACATGCAAGACAGAGTTTTCCCCTCAAAATACGACCATTTTACTTTAAAAAAAAAATCTGCACAGCTGATTAAAATTCCTACTTCAAATATTTCCAATCAGAAAATAATTAGGATTTCTACCATCTATGTTCATCTATTAATTACCCTAAGAATTCCATCATTTTAATAATGAAACTAAAAAGTTCTCTATTGTAAAGGTTTCCTTTGCATTTTTTATATAAGCAAAGTCTAAAAACTAAAAGCCATAGGAAACAAAACCTCATACATACCCAATATATTAACAAATAACTCATAATATTCGAAAGTAAGTAGTGGCTCTGGGAGATCTAGAAAATAGTCAGCAATGGTTCGGAATACATCTCGTTCAAATCCAACGTAAGTTGGTTGGCTCAGGTCATTACTTCTTGGCCCTAAAAGATTGACAAAAGGGTATATGCGCTTGTACCACAAATCTTCTTTTAAAAAAGTTTCTTTTAAGAGCTGTAAACTTCAACAATAAACCTCTCTATAACTAATCTTTAACGTTTTATGTATAGTCCAACAGAGAGTAATGGAAAGCCCACAAGGTACATGGGTAGAAAAACGGATAGAGGAGGGACAGGTAGCAGTCAAAGGCAGGGCAGGTTATGTGCTGGGGTAGGAAGCTCATTGTAGGGATTAACTGACATTGGCAAAATGAAGCCATTAAAGAGACCAAGGCAAGGGCAAGGAAAAGGGGGGACTCTCAAAAAGGGGCAGGGCATGAGCCTGTCAGAATAGGGCTGAAAACACAAAAGCTCACAGACAATTCTAAAGGTGACAAAAAGAGGAAGATGAAAGAGAAAAGGACTGCTTTTCTAGGTGGATGGGGTGAGAGATGGCCCAGAGAAATGCTCAACTTCTTTTATCTGTTTTCTCTGCCAAGAAGAATGATTTTTGGACTGTCAAGGTTGGAATAAGGATGATTAAGAATAACAGAATAAGTGAGTGGCAGGTAAGAAGGGCTAATCTGAGCTGCTGAACCCACTGCCTGAGTGTTCCGGTTCCCAGCAAGGGCACCGCCATCCTCCTCTGTCCTCCCTTACCCCCCGCATCTACCCTGTCCTTCAGTGCTGCTCCTCCCCACACTCCCACAACCAGAGCCTTCTCTCTGCTTCCTATTCTTCATCTCTCTTTATTCTCCAAGTCACACTGTGCCAGGCAGCTGCCAAGGTGGTTTTCCTAAAATCCAAGTCTCAGAGTCTCCTTTTCTCCACACACTTGAGTAAGCGGTTTGGAATTCATGGCTCTTCACATGGCGGGTGTGTAGCCATCACCACGCCCCCGCCCCCCCCAGTCTACCCTCCAAGGAATCTGACCTTGTCTCTCACTGTTCCTCACACTTTCCCCCAGCGCCTGATGTTCACCTCTCCCAGCAGCATCTCTTACTTCCATTATGACTCAGCACAAGCACCACCTTCTGCGTGATCTCTCAGACGCTAGTGGGGTCCCTCCAAGCTACCTGGTACTTATTTTGCATATATTTCCGTAGGCACCTACTATTTTCCTGGACAGAATATAAGCAATTTGAGAGCAGCCATGGTTCCATTTTTGCTGGCTCTAGGCCTCCACACCTGGCCCAGAGCAGCTAATAAATGCTTATTAATTGATCTTTGAAAAATCAGGGAGAATGGGAATGACAACATGGATTTAGGGCATGGCAATGCAGTTCTAATGTTCAAAAATGGGAAGAGAACACGCTAAAAAATACAGGGTAGAAACCCTGACTTCAATGTTTGGTGAAATTCTGGAAAATCTGATTAAAATGACTGGTTAGAAAAGGCCCCAATATGGCTTTACCAAGAGTCTCACTCCCTTTGTTCACAATGTCACTGGACCTGTAGGTTGTTTCTGTGGCTACAGCCGTTGTGTACAGCGCCCCCAGTGCTGGTGACTTCAGTCTGCATCAGCACAGGGACTAAGTGCCTACTATGTGCCTGCAGGCAGTGGGGTTGCAAGTACAACGAATGAAGCTTACACTCTCACCGGGAAGATGGGAACATACAAAACCATTCATAGCACAATTAGCACAACAGCGAATAAATCCAAATACATACAAAGGAGTTAAGCAGAAGGTGGCTCAGAAGGGAGTGCACGAGCAGTTGGGGGCTTGAGCCGGGTTGCACAGGAAGGCAAGGCCTCAGGCAAGTAGCAATAAGGGGAGAGGGCATTCCAGGCCTGGAGGACGATCAGGGCAAACAAAGAAGGTCTAGGATCAAAAGGCTAAAGAACACAGGTGATCGTTCTGCCCAGCTAAACAAACTTTATGTCAATCCTACCAGAGGACGATAAGCCAGTTAAAAAACAAAAAAAGCTACCAAAAGTCCACAAATGCACCACAAAATACACCATTTATAAAGACACCTATGTAATTTTGGATTCTCTGGGTCTCACTTTAATTTTATTCAGAACTTTTAAAATAAAATTCTAAACATCCCATCTCTTCCATTAAAGACAATAAAACGAAACATTCTCGCATAACTTACAATTCGCTAGACACTTCATAGCAGATAGTACCCAGTGAGGAAGGTCGTCTATACAGCAAAACAAAGCACAGTCAATAACTCACCCGCATAGAATGGGAATGAAAGCAATGCCATAAACAACTCTGTTTAGCATCTGAATTTACATCATTTTAGAAGCTCAATTCCTTAAAGTAGCATGCAGGTGAACTGAGGAACAGCGATCTCATTTGTGTGCTGAGTTGCTCTGGTCATGAAGGTGTGGTTCTCCTCCCACCCACAAAAACCCCACAGAGCTAACTGAACCGTGACTTCCTGGAGCTTCTTTTCCTCTACACTGTTGGAAGAATGACGAAGTTGTGTTGGTCCATAGCAACTTGTCATGTCTTCTCCATTGAAGAGTGTGAACTCTTTGAGAGCAGACGGACTTGGCTCAGTGAAGGTTTTGTCACTCATTCAAGAATCAAGTTCCTATTACTACAGTTTTATCTCTTCCTAAGCAGCCTTATTAAGTACATAATTCCTCAATCTAGAATCACATGCATGACGAACACAGCCCCTCCAAGACACTGGCAGTGGTCATGAACTGCTGTGGCCAGCTTTAGTCTCTTCATCCACTGAGCAGTCCATCCTGAAGCCCTTTTAGCTTGGTCAGGCCTGCCAGATTGTATTCTAAGGAAATAGCTTTGGCTAACTTAAGGATACCTTCATGCCACCCTCTGTGAAGCTTTAGTGAATGATTAAAATCACCCACACACATTTCTGATTTTAGTATATGATATGTCTGAGACAGGGCAATAGTTTAACTGGTTATGTTATATATTAACACGGTTATAATCACAAAACATCTACTTAATGGAATATTTCACATTATTTTAGCTGAAAAGACAAAAATGTTTAATTCTTAGATTCTCACATATTAGAAGAGTTGGTATGCTCTGCATGGGATAAAGAGGATTCTGTTTTCTTCAATAGCTCGAAGCACTGTCCTTTTGTGCCTTAAGCAAGATAAAGCCATGACTATTTCTTGGGAACTGGGGCCTTAGTATAAATTGACTCAAACAGTTTAAATAAAATTATTTGTACAACAGTTGCTGTGGTTCATATGTCTAATATTTAGATAAATCTACGTAATAGACAAAAGTAAAGCCCATGTCTAGAACACTTATGAAAAGGACATGACTATAGAGTAGCAAAACTGGAAAAAAGCTTTAAAAAATAGAAATACAATCAAATAAAGTTCTACAAACGCAGTCAAAGCAAAACACTGGCCCTCAGGAGTCTGCAAACACCTGCTTTATTATACTGATTTATTTTGATCTGTTCTCTCCACTGCCAATCTGTGTGATAACCCACCATACCCTAATGAGGGTATTCCAGTCACCTGCCTTCAGCGCTAAGCCCTGGCAGCAGGGCAGTTTTGCCTGAGGCAGGACAGAGGATAAACACAGAAATCGTCCCACAGCACTAACTCCAGTCCCCTACCATGACATCACTGGCATCACTCAACATCATCCCTGTATAACTGTGTCCTCACTCCGACGCCTGGCTCCACCCTTACTCTAGCCACAAGCCCAACAAACAAGCTCCTTTTCTAAGTACTGGACGCGCTTTGATATACTGACCAGCTTTGTTCTGCAGTACAACTACTCCGTGTTTGCTCGTGTTGGCCATGTTATATGTTATATACTGAGGTATTACTTGCGCTGGATCCAGGACTTCTTCTAAAGATGGCGTACCTAAAATGGTTTGTAAGCTGAATGGAAACAAGGAAGAGAATCTTGCTTCAGAGAACAAGGAAAAGACAATATAAAAATAAGCTGCCCTCAGATTCTTTCAAAGACCAAATCTGATCTGCAAAGAGATGAATTTTAAAAGAATAGAAGTAGAAATCATCTCCCCATTTTCCCTTCAGCAAAATTTCACAGATATGAGTGTGTGTGTGTGTGTGTGTGTGTGTGTGTGTGTGTGTGTAGAGATAGACAGAAAGAGAGAAAGAGTTACTTTGTTCCCCTCAATAACTTTTTAGGATTCTATAATAGTCATCTCAGGAACACATATAAAACTTGGGTTTAGAGGGCAAAAAAAGAGAATTTAACTGAAAACCTTAAATTCTTTGAGACTATACATACAGTTTTCACTTGTATATCTGAATAAAAAAGACCAAAGTTTGAATAACTCAAGAACCTGGTCATAACTAACTACAGACTTACTGCATCAAAATAATGTGTCTCCACATTTCTTCGACATCTTCTTGGCTTATTTCCCTTTCCTCTACCGGGTTTTCTTTATTTTCATCTCCAGTTTCAATTTTAACATTTTCTGTAATTTCCTAAAAAATGAATAGCACAGGTTTAGCTTGGTAAAATGTATTAAAATAATTTACCAAATAGGAAATGATTAATGCTTTCCTTAAAATGCTTAGTAATTGAGTCATTTCTTCCAAGTGGTGCTGCAGACAAGGGCTGCCTGCCTCAGTTATGAAAGGTCATCCCCACAAGCAGCAGCTTTCATTACATCTGTGGGTTCCAACAGTCACTGTTAACTAACAAGGAGAGAACTTAGGCTTCTATGACATAACTCAGGGGTCTTTTGCTGCACCTTCAATTTCTCTGGGTATTAAGGTCAGTTTCTTGGGATTTATGAAGTTATTGAAAAGCATGCATAACTGAAGAAACACGTCATTTTCAAACAGAAACTCAATCTTCCAAATAAATTACTAAAATACAAAGATACTTTTAAAAAGCAGCCCATCACACAACAAGGGATTGCTTCTCTTTGACCATAAGGTCCTTGTAATAAGGAATTGCTTTATTCTTTGTCAGCACCTCGAAAAGAGTCTGGCCCATAGTAGGTGCTTAATAATTACTGTTACGTCATCAGCAATAGTAAGTTAAAACCGAATTCCTTATTAACACTGAAACATAAACTACGGTGCGAGCCTTACAAGTTGGACTTCCCCAAGCTAGGGAGAATCCGTCACTGAGGCCACAGAGCTATGGTTAGAAAAGCATTCTGTAAAGCTTAAAAAACTATAAATGTTAGCTGTTGTTACTATTTCCAGGAAAGAGATTATGTGTTCCCAGTGGGTTACATGTATCAGCCGGGGAAAAACCAGACCCTTGAAATGAATGTGTGCTCAAAACTTTCTTCTTCGGTGAAAGTAAAAAGGTTACAGAAGAGCAGACTTGAGGCCATTCCCGACTTTGGGCCACGAAGCCAAACAGTCCTTACATACCAACAAGCAGCAAATGAATCTAAGCTCCTACTTTCCTCACTCCTCAGAAAGAACGACATTTTGTTCAACTGGAAAATCTGGGGGTTGCTAGATTTAAAGCAAACCCTGGAAGGCACCTTCTTAGGCATGGAGAGGAGTTATTGGAGCGTGCAGCCTTCTGCCTTCCCCTTCCTCCATAACCTCTGCTGACTTGGTGAAAACGACATGCTCCCAGTGGGCCATTACCCAGGGATCAAGAGGTATGCATTTTCCATAAAAGTAATTTCATAAATGTTGATTAGACAGTTGAAACCATATTATCAATACCATTTAAAACACATTTTCTAAGATAAAAGGAGTGATTACCCTCCATCTGGCTTCCTGGATAGTCTACAGGAAGCAGAGGTGTAACTTCTTTAACTAAAGAAATCTCAGTCCTCCATCCTCCATTCTTTCTCTGAATCCTACAGGACCCACCTTATTTTAACCTTCACCTGCATTTAAACACTATGTCTGGTCCGCTTCTGGTTTGACCCCAGACTCCTAACTTTGTTCCTCACCGGGTCATTCCTATTTCTTTGCTGACTTGCCGCGCTCTTCCAGTAGAGCTGCATGGCTCATCCTCAGTGCTGCTTACTTTGCTTCCCTTGGCCCTTAAAAGATCACCCCTTGGCCCAAATGCCTTCTCTCTGCCAGCAGGAAGAACATGTGGATTAGCTGTTCTGTGCCTGTCTGGGAATCTCTTGATCTCTGGTGACTGGCTAGAGTTATGTTACTCACATATCAGGCTGCTCTGAAAAGACTGACTGAAAATGAACTTTTGAAACCCAACTACTTTTAAGCTTGGGATTAACTGAATGAGCTTTAGATGGGGGAAGGTTACTTTACTTTTTATTGATTATTGGAAATCATGTCAGTCGGAAACATGCATTACCTGATAGACATGCTTTTTAGGAGTTCTCCGAGATAAATGTCGTAACTTAAAGATACTTTCTTTCTCTTTAGAAATATTTTCTAAACTGCTTTTTCTCAATTCTGGACGATGGCGTGGTACACTTTTAAGCGGAGAAGTTGTAGGAAACCTGTTACAAAAATAGATTTGAATTGATATAAACTGTGAGACTGGGAATCATGTTCTGTAGCTGTTATGTATGATAATCATACTGATTAACAAGATACAGTAATATCAGATTATGTGGCCCTGCTAGGGAATGAAATGTTTTACTTAAGTGACTTTTCTGGAGGCACATCATTCTATTCATACTTACCTAGCTCTTTAAATAAAACAAACCCAAAGTACTAGAACCTTTCCTGACGACTCAAGGTCAACAGCATGAGCGTCTGTTACTATACTTTGTTGTAATACAATGACATCAACTTGGTGTGAGGCTCTTTGGTCCCCTATTAAATGCCTCTAGAATACTAATCTTTTTTAGTCCTCTTAACAAATTTTTAAAGTCTCTTTTCTTGCAGTGAAAGGTAATCACTTACCATTCTGTTTTCCACATATTTTTTTGTCTGCCTTTGAGGCCCCTGCCTCTTAAACTTGCTGCTGTGGTCTGGGAAAACACATAAAAAGCTTTGAAAAGAGGACTTGCCCTCCCAACCTCATCCCACCAATCAGTGGGAAGACAGGCCAGAATCACTTGTTGCCACTTAGGGGAGCTATGGACTTATCTCTTCTTCCAATAACCCTTATTTCCTACTGCTAAAAGGATCCCATGGCCCCATAGCACTGTACCTCTGAACCCATTATCCTCTTGGTAGGGGACCATCTGCCCTATTACTCCTTAAAGATCTTGGTTTTTCCATTGTCTTGGTACTACCTGGCCCTTCCATCTCTGGGTATCCTCAGCACTTAATAAATTCTTTCCTCTTTCACCCTATTCCTTGATGTAGGCACATACATATCACAGTAGGTACAAATATATCACAGGAGAGAATTTGGACTGGTGGTAAAGAGTCTTGGACTCTATCATTCACTGACTTTGTATGTGACTTTAGGAAAATCATTTCACCTTTCAGAGCCTCATTTTCTTCATTTATAAAAATGAGGGGGTGCTCAGTGATCTGTAAGATCTTGTACAGAACTAAAATGTTCTGAGTTCACATTAGAATTCTCAGCAGTTGATATCATCGCTACTTTACTAAGACAAAAACCAGTCCATCTAGGGGTGAACTCCTTCACATCCTCTACACCCCCAGTTCATTAAATGGAATTATTATTTTACATGTCAAAATCCTAAATTTTACTCTAGCATTACTATTCCAGAAGAAATTTTTTAAAAACTCCAATTGATAAATGGTCAAAAGATATGAACAAGTAGTTGTTAAAGAAAGAGATTAAACTGTCAACAGCCATATGAAAAATTGCTCTAAATTACTAATAATTAGTGAAATGTAAATTGAAGCAGCTCTAAGGTGCTCACTGGATTGATAAAGATGATGAAAAAGAAAATGACAAATGCTGGAGGGTCTGTGGGAAAATAGGCACATTAATGTACCATTTTTGGAGAATAGTCCAGTCATTCTGGAAAGGAATTTGGAGCCATGCCCCCAAACATTCAAGTATGAAGATATTCTTTCACTCAGTGATAATAGTACTAGGTCCATTCCCCAAAGAAAACAAGGAAAGAAGAAAAAGACTCAAAGGCATGAAATATTTCCATCAGTGCTTTCTGTAGTGGCAAAGAACTGGAAACTAAGGGGGTTCCGATCAATTGGGGAATGGCTGGACAAATTATGGTATATTAATGCAATGGAATAGTATTATGCTGCAAAAAATGAAGAAAGAGATGAATGCAGAGTAAAGTAAGTGGAACTAAAGAACACTTTATACAGAAATCATGTTGTAAAGCCACAAACAAGACTTAAGAACTCTAATCAACACAGTGACAACCTTGACTCCAGAAGACTGATAATGAAGCATGCTGCCTACACTGCCTGACAGAAGAGGTCGTGAACTCCAGGTGCACAGTAAAACATACATCGTTGGACATGGCCAACAAGAAAGTTTGTTTTGCTCGGTTCTGCATGTGCCCAGGGGCATACAACTAGCAAGTATACAAAACAGCTTCCAGTAAATATGTGGTTTGCTATTATCATATTGGGGGGAGCCAGGTGGCTCTGGGCCTGGAGTCAGGAAGACCCGAGTACAAAAGTCACCCGGTTTGCCTTGGTTTCTTCACCTGTAAAATGAGCTAGAGAAAGAAATGGCAAACTACCCTTAGTTATCTTTGCAAAGAAAACCCCAAATGGGGTCATGAAGAGTGGGACATGACCATATAAATATGAACTGTGCTACAATATAATTTGAAATCTAAATTTTTTTTTATATTGCTAACACTCACTTAGGCTGACCTTAAAATGCCTCCCATCACTTTCATAAATATCCAAAGTCGATTATATCTCAATTGGTTTCCATTGATATCCATTGCCTTTAAATTTCACAAAAGAAGCTGGAAGGTACCCCTGATACCATCCTTCAAACTCTCCACAAGCAGAATCCCTCCTACAGCATACCAGACAAAGGAAAGGGAAGGGGCCAGCTCTCCTGGTTACAAAGCTTGTCTTGCCTTCCAGCCTAAATTTAAGTCTTTATCCCACCCATCCACTGCTCCAGGTTCTGTCCTCTGGGGCCAAACAGACTAAGTTTAATTCCCCTCTACAGGACAGTCCTTCAAATAAGTGAAGGACTTAAAAACAGCAACAGGTCATGTCTTCTCTGGTCTTGTCTAAATTAGCTCCAATTTCTTCAATAAAATGTGGTTTTGCATTTCAAAATCCCCAATTTAAAGCCAATTCACTTTAAAAGTACTATTCCAAAGGGGCTCTGATAAAATTGAGACCTACATGGACCAAGGTGGGTGGGGAGAGGAGAAGGGAAGGGAAAGCTATATTCCCTACAGAAAGTCTTTGTTCTGGCAAACTAACTGGAAATAAATAATTCATCAAGAAACCGACTTCTTGTTAAGCAGTTTGATTCTACAATTAACACATCTGCACAGCACCTGAAGAGCTGACTGTTGTCATCAAGATTTTCTGATCCCCATCTTCCTTTAACATCTTCAATTACATGATTCTTGAGGAATTTTCTTAACAACTGAACAGTCTGTTGCCTTGTAACTTCAGGACCAAAATTGCTATTACTTCTTAATAGTTCATACAGCCAATCTACCGCTTCACAGGCAGTAAAACAGTTGCCATGCTTTTTAAAGTGCTGCCTGTGTTTCCTTAGAGGCATTCCTGCTCGAAAACAGGTGGTAACTTCATTCCACTGCAAAAGGGAGAATATTAAAAACATTTCATTTTTAATGTATTTAAGTAGACAGTTACTTTAAATAGTCGTCATTCCTATCACATTGCAAAATGATTGAAGAAAAAAATGTCCCTGTATCTGATAGGCACAAAAACCACCGTGCCCTAAATGATTTTTGTTAATTCCAGTCCCGAATATCACTCTTACACAGCAATTTTCATTCCAAAGTATTCCACAGGACCGCCAGTCTACACAGAAAATCTGTGAAAAATTTCAACCGGTTTGCTTTGGGACCCTGCATTGAGAGGGGGGTTTATTAGTACTAATCAAAACCCACAGACTTCAGTGAAGGTATTGTTTTAAGTGTTCCAGTTATTTACTTCGGTCCCCCTCGATGCTGGAGATGCTATAATCCAAATCCCAACATACTTCCATTTTTCTTTAACTGTGGGCTGGATTTAATCGGAGGACACGAGTTCAGATCCCCAGGGACCCCGCGACTTTGGCGGGCCTCAGCTTCCCCACTTCCATAACGAGGGTCCTCTAGACTTGCATCACTCCTTTAGGGGATGGGTGGGAGCGGTGTGGACGGCGCTGACGTCAACGTCCTAACAAGCGTCTACACTGGAGCTCCCATCAAATAACCACGGGACCGGCCCAGCCTCTTCGTCGGGGTCTCATCCGCGAGGACTGCCCCCCCCGCCCCCGTTCAGACCCGGCCTCGACCCGGGGGGTGGGAGTGGGGGGGCTGAGGCCTCTTTTTAAAAATAGCTCACCCAAGCGACCCAGAGGGGCAGCCGCCACCCCCCGCCTGTCCAGCCGCTGACCGCCCCTCCTCCCAGGTCTCCCCTTCCGGCCCAAAAGAGCGCGCTTCAGACACCCGGCCACGCAGCGGAGCGAGCCCGAGATCTGGGTCCGGAGCACCGGGGGCCTCGGCCCTCCCCCGGCCCCGCCTGTGGAGGGCCCCGGAGGGATCGCCGCGGGGGCCCTCAGGGAAACTGAGGCCCGGCGCGGCCCCCTTACCAGCTTGGTGGCCCGATAGGGCCCCGTGGTCACCCCCCGGCTCTCCATGCTCCCCGCCGGGCTCTGCTAGCGCCGCGGGCCTCCCCCCATGGCGGCGCCCGGGGCCCGAGCAGCGAAGCCTCCTCGGCCTCCGCCACCCCCTCCAGCCGCGGCACCAACCGTCTGCCGGGCGTCCCGAGAGCGTTTGAATAGCCCGGGCGGCGCCGCCGATTGGCTGGAGGCTGCACCACGTGACGCGATCGTGGGCGGGAAGAAGGGATCCGGGGCGGGGCTTGTGCGGCGGGGGCGGGGCTTCTCTGTCCAGGTCCAACTGTCGGGTCCCTCGTGGAGGGATGCGGGCGCTGCTCTGGGCAGCACTCTGAGCGGTGAGCAGGCCGCCCAGGAGGCTGCTGGAGAGCCCTCCCGCAGAGGAAGGGGCCTTCTCCACCCTTCTCTGGCAGCAGGGTCTGTTCCCGAAGGAAGGCCAGACCAGAGGCATTGACACGTCCCCAAGTCAGCCACAGAGGGGAGCCGGGGGAGGCTGGCTCTGCGCTGCCGACAGCGAGGAACAGCGGTTTTCCTATTAAGCCAGCCTCCAGCCCCTCCCACTGAGACGAGGGACCGCAGCCTCAAAACTGTGGGAGGAGAGCTCAGCGTTGGGAAAAGGTGAGGAAGGGGATGGGCTGCAGCACGGAGATGTCAGCCGAAGCATCGGTCTCCAGGCGCCAGCAGAGACGCCCAACACGTGCTCGTTCCCACGGGGGATTCCTCTCCTCTGGAAGACACAGAAGGGCATTACAACGTGGCCCCCAGAATCAGAATGCAGAATTCAGTTCAGTTCAGTAAGCGCAGGGAGTGGCCTGAGCTTCACACATTGGCTATGTGACTTGGTCTGTTTGCCTCGGTTCCCTCCACACCCGGGGGACCCCTGATTGTCCTTTAGCCTCTTCAGACCCATCTGGTCCCCCGGGGGAATTCTGTGTAAGGAGAAGGAAGAGGCAGAAACTCCTCTGAAATGATTCCTCTCAGTGCAGCTCCTGCACTGCTGAATTGGCTGGCCCTGGACCATTTCAGATGAGTTTGCTGTTTTACGTGTAGGCGCTGAGCTGTGTGCCTCACTCGGTCATTCTATCCAGTGATGCTCTGAAAAAGACCAAGGGCTTTTCACCACAGTGAATACAGTTCTGATGGATGGATTCAGCTGTATTGTCTGGGCCTTACCTGAGGTAGGGAGAAAACCCCCACCCTTCCACAGTCGTGGCTGTGACCACGCAGAAGCCATCCTATGGGTTTTGCAGACGTGATTTCTTGTTCAGAAATGCCAGAAACTGGAGGAGCTTTCACATCGCTGTTCCTAGATTCAGAATGATCGGGCCTAGAAGGACCCTTAGAATTCCTCTTGTCCAAACCGCTCATTTTATGGAAGGGGAAACTGAGGCCCAGAAGAGTGGAGAGTTTTGCCCAAGGTCACATGGGTCTTCAGCACTGGAGCTAGGATTTGAACCTGTGTTTTCTGACTGCAGAGCCAGTATTCTTTTGAATCAACTATACCATATCCTGGGATTTAGAATTGGAAAGCACATAGATGTAGTGAATCTACTGAGGCCCAGAAAGGTTTAACAACTCACCCACATCACATGTAGTAAGTACCAAAGGTAGAATTTGAACCCAGCTCTCTTGACTCCAAATGTAATACTCTTTCTGCTACAGTACATTCCCACATAAGTCGTCCTCCTGCCGCAACTGGTTTGGGATAGCCAATGACCCTTGGTTAACTAGTCTGCCACATGCTAAATCATACAGTTATTGAATAAATGCTTAGATCCCAAACTTCAGGCCTTGCTCTTTACATTTTTGGACTTTTCAGCCTTCTTCATCAGTGAGGCTCAGCCCTCGGGGATTTTAACCAACTGTGTTATTTTCACTCCTACATACACATTTATGAAGATAATGAATTGGTTATTTTTAAAACAACCTTTCAGAGTAGAGCTACACGCCCTTCGGTTTGTTCACCAAATTTCTAATTATCCTAGTATTACATTGATTTAAGCCTTTTCTTCTTTCTCACTGGATTGTTCTGGATTTCAAGGCATATCAAATCATCTTGGCATTTGGGGTTTTCACAAAAACCCTTAAAGCATTCTCTTATTCTCAAACCTTACGAATGAGAACACACCCCTTTCTGTATAGAATTAACAGGGAACTTGTCTCATATCAGTTATCAGACAAGGAAGGAAAAATAGAACTCTTGAGAGATATGTGGAGAGCCACTAGAAATTTGATAATTTGATTGAAAGTATAAATTGCAAGAAGAATCAACAAGGCCCAGTGGGCAGAGTTAACTGTCTACATAGGTGTCGGGTACAGATGACAAAGTGCAATTCCTTCCTCTCAGTAGACAGGTGGGGGGCTATGGGTGCAGAATGTTTGTCCGTCAGTTTTGATTTTCCATTCTCTTTTTTTTTGTTGTTGAAATACAAACGTGTGATGCTTTATATAAAATGTCTTTAAGTTTGGAAAGCACTTCCCATCTGTTATCTTATTTAAGTGTCATGACAATCCTGTGTGTACTTACGGTAAGTGTTATTATCCTCATTTTACAGAAGGCAGGAATTGAATCTGGGTCTTCCTGATTATGAATCCAACACCTTATTCATTACACTGATAGGGAAGTGTGTAAAACCCAAAATAGTTATTTAATTTGTATTTGTTTTAATTTAATAAAGAGTTACATGGGACAGTACCTGAAAAATACTGTACAACATGAAACAGCACAGCTGGGGGCATTAGGTCTGTGGTCAGGTGGGTGTTGGGCTCCCATGATAAAGAGCTGGAGATTTTATTTAATAATAATAGCATTTGTATAGTGCCTACTACATGCCAGGCACCAGCAAAGCATTTTACCAATTATGACCTCATCGTATCCTCACAACAACCCTGGGAGGCTGGTGCTGTAATTATCCCCATTTTATAGATGAGGAAACTGAGGCAGACAGAGGCAAAGCAACTTCCCTAAAGTCACACAGCCAGGGAATGTCTGAGGCATTCCGTATCTACTTGGTTTTTTTTGCATGGATAGTTAAACCAAACTCTTTTAGGGCATGATGTATTTCATTAAAAACCCTGCAAAATAATTCACATGTACTCCAACCTCCTCTTTTCCCCCTATTAAAATTTAGGCTTAGCTCATTGCACCTGATATGCAAATCTATAAATTTAAATATGATTTTCGCTTTCCCTATAAATGAGAATGACCCATTTTTATTAATTTATTTTGATTTATCAACAATCACTTCAATAAGCTTTTGAGTTTTAAATTTTTCTCCCCGTCTCTCCCCCCTCCTCCCCAAGACGGCGCACAATCTGATATAGGCTATACATGTACATTTCGATTAAATATATTTTCATATTAGTGATGTTGTAAGTAAGAATTAGAACCAATAGGAAGAGCCACCAGAAAGAGGAAACAAAACACAACAGAAGGAAAAAATAGCAAATAGTATGCTTCGATGTGCATTCAAACTCCATAGTTCTTTCTCTGGATGTGGATGCATTTTCCATCATGAGACCTTTGGGCATGTCTTAGATCCTTGCATGGCTGAGAAGGGTTAAGTCTATCAACATTAGTCATTGCACAACATGGCTGTTACCGTGTACCATGTTCTCCTGGTTCTGCTCACTTTACTCAGCATCAGACCATACAAGTCTTTCCAGGTTTTTCTGAAGTCAGCCTGTTCATCATTTCTTATAGCACAATACTATTCCATTACATTCATATACCACAACTTGTTCAGCCATTCCCCCATTGATGGAGAATGACCCATTTTCAACATCATAGATGAGCAGACCCAATAAACACAAATAATAGGTCATGCAGCTAGTCCTCAAAGATCTCTGGTTGGGGTCACTCCCTGTCTCCTGAGGCAGTCCTTTCAACTTTTAAGACAATATTTTCTTTACTCTGTGCCTTTACTTTTGCTTTAATTTGCCACTTGTTAACATCCACTCATTGTTACTACTTCTGCCCTCTAAGCTAAAGGAGAAGAAATCAAATTCTTCTTTCATGTGACAGCATTTCAGGATGGCTCATTTGTGGTCCATTAAGACCCCCAGATCACTCTCAGAAAGACCCATCTTGGAATTGTGATGCTGACTTTTTGAGCTCTGGTATAAGACTTTACATTTATCCCTAGTAAGTTTCATCTGATTTGATCCAGCCTAGTGTTCTAACCTACTCAGGTCATTTCATATCCTGACTCAGCCATCCAGGCTGTTTGCCATCCCTTCCAGTTTTGGGCCACCCGAGAATCTCCTGCAGTCAATGCCTTTTCCCAAGGGCATTCCTTCTTTGCCTTACTTGGTCTGCCCAGAGACCTTAAGACCTACTTTTGGCACATGTTGATTTAATGGGTAAGGTAACTGAGTCACAAATAAGTCAACGTTTTCTAAGGGCACGTAGCTAACTCGTGCTAGCACTGAGATTAACTCAGACCTCCTGCACCTCGTTCTAGGTTCTTGTTATTTAAAGTTCTTATCAGAACAGTGATGCTGTATATTACTTCTGCTGTTGCTAATCGTAAATGACAGGAAAAATGCAGCTAATACACAGATGATGAAAGAAGGGAAGAAAATATGTAAGTAATTGCAAAAAAGGGGAGTGATTATCAAACCCTAGTCAATTATGGAAGGGACACGATGGAAATAATGGACTTCAGTAGTTTCAGGCAAGATGAAAATGTGTTGAGTGTCAGGTCAGCAGAGGAGAATGCAGTGAATTAATACAACAAATATGCTGGGAATGCTGTCTGACTGATGTCTGGAGAAAGCTCTCTTCCCTCTGGGCCGTTAATTTTACGTTGAATGTGTGTGAACAACTAAGATTAACGAGAATTGTGTCACCTTCGGATTGTCAGTACTGCTGAGAAATGAACAACGTGGAGCTTGGATTATCAACATCAGCAGAAAAGACACCTGCCGAGCGCGGCAGAGCGCGGAACGCTGGATCGATTCCACTCTTGACGCCATCCGAGGAGTGGCTAGAAGAAGCAGGGTGCTTTAGATGCTTAGTCAAAGCAAGCGCTCTAAGCGCTACAGTCCAGTGTGTGCGTATAATGATGATGATAGGAGGAGGAGGAGGATGAAGACCATTAATATGGTGCCTTATGACTGGCAAAGCGCTT